AACCGTATATGCAGTCGGATGAAAATTTAAAAGAGAAGGACAAGTTTCGTAACAGAGAGGAATGCATCAGGGCCATTAAAAAATTTCACATGCTCAACTCGGTTGATTTTAAGGTGGATCGTGTCAACCCGGAAAGGTACAAGATCAAGTGTGTCCACCCTGACTGTATGTTCAAGCTGACCGCATCATACAGATTAAGGGGTGACTGCTGGGTCATAGGTTCCATGACTACCCACACTTGTGTAAGTTCCACTCAATCACAGGACCACCGAAAACTCAACTATGATCTAATCTGTCAAGAAATCCTACCCCTGGTCAGCAACGACCCATCTTTGAAGGTGAAAACAATCATCTCCCACATCACCATGGTTTTTAACTACACTCCGTCTTACCGTAAGGCGTGGTTAGCAAAGACTAAGACGATTGAAAGGGTGTACGGAAACTGGGAGGAGTCATACCGAGAACTTCCCCGCTACCTGAATGCACTCAAGACGTATTCTCCAGGCAGTGTTTATGTTCTGGAAACATTGCCAACGTACGCCCAAGATGGTAGTCTACTGCATGGCAACGGAATATTCAGTCGCGTGTTTTGGGCATTTCAACCATGTATCACAGGGTTTGCATCATGCAAACCAATTCTACAAATCGACGGGACTTGGTTGTATGGGAAGTACAAAGGCACGCTATTGATGGCAGTTGCACAAGATGGCAACAACAACATTTTTCCCGTTGCGTTTGCCCTTGTCGAGGGGGAGACCGGTGGTGCTTGGAGCTTTTTCCTGAAAAATCTTCGGACACACGTGGCTCCTCAACCAGATCTCTGTTTGATCTCAGACAGACATGCCTCCATTGAAAGTGCCTACAATAATCCAGCAAATGGTTGACATGACCCTCCTTCTACGCATGTCTATTGCGTCAGGCATATCGTCCAGAATTTCTCAAGGGAGGTCAAGGACAAAACATTGAGGAAAGTGGTTATGAATGCGGGATATGCATTGACACAACCCACATTCAAATATTACCGCAACGAGATCCGTTTGTCTAATCCAGAAGCCGGTAGGTGGATCGACAATATTCCGGTGGAAAAGTGGACTAGGTCATACGACAATGGCCAAAGATGGGGGCATATGACAACGAATCTTATTGAATCAATGAATGGGGTATTCAAGGGCATACGAAACCTCCCAATCACTGCCTTGGTAAAATCTATGTATTTTAGGATGGCTGCGTTATTTGCCAAAAGAGGTGAAATGTGGAATGCGGTGTTGCAATCTGGACAACTATGGAGTGAAAGCTGCATGAAATACATTAAGGCTGAAAGTGCTAAAGCCAACACTCACATGGTTATACGGTTTGATCGACACAGCCACAACTTCATTGTGAAAGAGACAATCAACCACAATGAAGGCCTGCCAAGACAAGAATACATGGTCATTTTACCTTCTCAATGCTGCGATTGTGGCAGGTTTCAAGCATTTCGTATGCCTTTCTCTCATGTCATTGCCGCTTGTGCTCATACCCATCAAGATGCGCTTCAACTGCTGTCAAACGTTTACAAATCTGAAACGTTGCTCACTGTTTACAATAACAACTTTCCTTTGGTGGCAAAACCGGATTATTGGCCTGAATACAACGGCGATATAGTTTGGCACAATGACCAAATGCGAAGGAACAAGAAGGGTCGTCCCAAAAGTAGGCGCATCACAACAGAAATGGACGATCTTGACAGGTTGGAAAGAAAGTGTGGTTTATGCCGTCAGGTCGGACACAATCGCAAAAACTGTCCGAATCGGGCGTCTGGCTCGACCACATAAATATTGTAATACAATAAATCTTTTCAATATTTGTGTTGTAAACATTAGGGTTTTCCGTTAATAGATTTTGCTACAGTTAATAAAACGCGTACAACAATAATTAACGATATTCAATCTAGGAAATTACAACTGTTAACACAATTTCATCTGACCCATGCATCATCAGCATTACATCACTGTCTGTTTTGACTTCCTCCAACCACACATTAGGTTTTCCTGTCGCATGTGAGGTTGTTGTTCGTTTTCGCTGGATCCTTCGAATTTTTTCCCCCTCCGCGATGTCTCCATCTAGCCACCGCATCAACTCCCGCTTCAGACGCTCCATGGAGTGAATGTGCCAGAATTTCATTTTCATCGCAGGTTTCGTGGCGGAGAATATAACGTAACCATCTCTGCTAAAAATCATAGGCGACGTCATTACACAAATAACGGAGTACAAAATAAAAATACAGTGCGAGAAAGTGTGAGAAATTTCGGAGAAACGGACAAATTATTTATAAAACAGCATTTTGCCCTAGTTTTGCCCTAGGAGCCAAGTGAGATGGCGCCTCCTCTCATTTTTAAGGAGCATGCGCCATCTCATTTGGCTAAAAGCCAAGGGAGGCGCCAAGTGAGATGGCGCCTAGGGCAAAACCCTAGGTGGAGGCGCCAAGTGAGATGGCTCCTCCTTTGTGGAGCCATCTGAAACATGGTTATTTGCGTAATTTTTTTCGAAACCCGGTTATTTACGAAATATTATTTTAATACATGATTATTAATAAATAAAAATTCGTATATGGTTTATCTAGAGATTAAAATATAGATGCTTTTTGTAAAATTGTAGGTGCTGATAATTTGATTTGGTGTATAACAAACACTTCTAAATTTTGAAATTTGAACGATACGAGGTGCGTTTTGAAGTTTTCATTAAATGTGTGATAGATACCTGAATTTTGAAATTTGAACAATACAAAATGTGTTTTGAAATTTTCATTAAATGTGTGATGGATGTCTGAATTTTGAAATTTGATCGATACGAAGTGTGTTGTGAAGTTTTCATTGAATGTGTGATGAATATAGGAACACCACCCTTAAATGTTTTAATCATGTTTAACATTTTTTGTGAGACTGCTAAATAGTTGTCCAAAATGAAGAAGTTAGGATGATGCATAAGTCTTCTTATTCAAAGTTTGCTACTCCCTCCGGTCTCATTTATAAGAAAAAATTAACTTTTTATATACATTGAATTAAGTAATGTATTTGGACAATATATTGTCCAAATACATTACTTATTTAATGTATCTAAAAAGTTAATTTTTTCTTATAAATGAGACTGGATGGAGTATTTATTTTACGTTAGTGTGTATACAATTAATAATTGCTAAATTTGATCTATTACTCTCTGTTGTCTCTATAACAAAAACATTTTAAATTTTAAATTTATTGAATGATCAATATATTTAAAAGACTTGCTCCATACCTTAATAGTTTAATAAATAAAATAAAATAAAATATATCTTATAATAGAAATGGGAAGTACTATCAAATATGTTCTTCATAGTCACATCATAATTAAAATTCTCAAACCTCCGTCCATTGGGTATGATTTTTTTAGATGATTTCTTACTCTATTTCATATGAGAAAATTAAATCATATGTAATTTTTATAATACCTTTTTAAAATCGGAAATATGCTTTTGATGTGTATCTTTTTTTTTAAAAGTTTGATTTAAAATCAAAAGTATATATTTAATTTTAAATCGATAATATATTTTCTGTTCTGATGCTGTCAGTAATAGAAAAACCAGAAAACTTAAACTTATAAAGAAATATATTTCTTATTTTTTCGCATCACAAATTAAAACTGGTAAAAACCATACACATCACAAATGGAACAATATATATATATATATATATATATATACTATGAAAGAGGCGTATACATAATCAAAATGATATACAAATACAAATATGATACAATACAATATCAAAAAACTAAAAGCAAAATACAAATGCATCAGCATAAACTACTGAGTATGGCGGATGATGAGTCGGTCTGTCATCCTCGAGGCGTCTCTATGCTGCCTCTTGTAACACTGAGCCTTCTGAGTCTCCGCCATGATGGCATCCAAAACACCTCTAACATCGGATTCATCCGGAAATATTCCTCTGTCAATACTATCTCGCACAAGTTCCATGATACGACGGCACCTAAGCAACACGTCATGAGCATGATCCCTCCTAGCTCAAAACTGGAAATTTATTTCTGATTCCTGCTGAGATAATAGAAGCAACGAAAATGGTGTTCCAGTCCCCTCAATGAGCTCATAAAAAGGGAATTGATCACGAAATTAACTTTAGAAGCACATTTTTAATGACTCATAATGTTGATAACAAGTTACAATATCACAATTTAAACCCTAATTCACTAATTTGAGTATAAATTACATAAACTCTAAAAATTTGAAAAATAACTTACTTGATTTATTGGTGTTGATTTTGCTTGATTGATTGCATTAGAATACTATATTTAACCAATGCTTGATGACTTCTGATGATTTTTGACCAAATATGTGAAGGATGTAATAAGGGTTTGAGAGAGTTCGAGAGAATTTTATGTTTTGTTTTGAAAATAATTACTGTAATGGGAGGGAAAGAGACATGGCGTCATTTAATGTGTCTAGGAATTGAAAATATACTTTCGATTTGGAATCGGAAGTATACTTCTGATTTAGAACCATGGTGTGAACCAAAAATATATAACATAGTGTAAACTAGAAATATATTTCAGATTTTGAAGGACACTTATGAAATTTCATGTGATGCATAAAAGTTATGAAGTTAGGATATGGGTTAAAAAATTAACTTTTTTTTATAGTGATATTATTCTTAAAATCTAGTTTTTTCATTATGTTGAAATAACAAGTCATACAAAATCACACAATCATTACCCTGTTGCTGCGGTAGTCAATCAAAATTCCAAATCTCCAAACTTTCATTTTCAGGAAAATACTTACACACCACACACACACATAATTTCCTCTCTTTTTTATTGATGGTTTCTAAAAATATGGATTTATGTAGTTATACATGCAATAATTTCTCTTCATTTCATTGCTCACTAAGTTCAGTGTTTTCTTTTCACTGAGAGTTGAAGTCAACGGTATGTTCAATTAGTTGTATTTTTTCTCTAAACACATTCACTCAATGAAATACACACTGGTTGTTGTTGCTGTTACCATGCTTTTCCCTGTTCTCTATTATTTCCTAAAAACCGTTCATTCAGTTTTCTATCTCCCATACAAAATCCAGCGACACTTCCGCAACCAAGGTATATCCGGACCCTCTTACCGTCCGATCTTTGGAAACTCATCTCAGATCAAACACCTCTACGCACAAACTAAATCAGATGTCACTCAGTTTGATCACAACTTCTTTAAAAGTGTGGTTCCATTCTACCACAGGTGGTCTTGCATGTATGGGAAAACTTTCCTCTATTGGTTCGGGTCAACGCCCCGGTTGGCGATATCCGACCCGGATATGATCAAGGAAGTGTTGGTTACTAAGTGTGGAGACTATGGAAAGGTTCCTTATAATCCTCAATCTAAGTTGCTTTTTGGACAAGGACTTGTTGGTTTGGAGGGTCATCAATGGAATTTTCATAGAAGGATCATCAACTTAGCATTCCACACGGAGATTCTTAAGGTAACACCGATACCTCTGAAAAAGTGTGTACATGTCAGACACTTACACGAGACTTGTGATTCCGTTTAATTTTATTATTTTTTTAGTTATTATCGGTGCTGCCGTGTGAGAGTCGGGGTCAAATTCGGGTTATATGTGCTTCATAGAGCATGAGAATATTAATCAAATTTGTCTTGTTAGTACACATTAATTTGAATTTTTAGTTACTAATTTGAAGAATCTTTTGGGGAATATTTTGTGCAGGGATGGGTTCCTGATATTGTGGAAAGTGTGAGAAAGATGCTTGAAAATTGGGAAAATCAAAGAGGAGGAAGAGATGAATTTGAAATAGATGTTCACAGAGAACTTCACGATCTTTCAGCTGATGTTATATCAAGGACTGCTTTTGGCAGCAGTTTTGAAGAGGGCAAACATATTTTCAAATTACAGGAGCAGCAAATGCATCTTTTCTCACATGCAGTTAGAAGTGTCTATATTCCCGGATTTAAGTAACTATTCTAAACTTTCTTAACTTGAAAAGTGGTTCTATTTGTTCAATGCTTTAAATGCTGCACTGTTATGTTTTTCCTTCTTGACTGTTATGGTTTTTTCTTTTTCTTTCTGAAAATTCGATAAAATGATAGATATTTACCAACTAAGAAGAACCGGGATAGATGGAGACTAGATAAAGAGACGCGTGAATCAATTTGCAAGCTGATTGAGAGCAAGAGCAATGCAAGAGAAAATACCAAAAGCGTTCTAAATTCATTAATGAGTTCCTACAAGAATGAAGTTGGTGGAGAAGACAAATTAGGATTGGAAGATATTATAGATGAATGTAAAACCATATACTTTGCTGGAAAGGATACAACAGCTAACTTATTGACTTGGGCACTTCTTCTTTTAGCAAAACATCCAGAATGGCAAAGTAAGGCGCGTGAAGAAGTTCTTCGTGTCATTGGACAAAATCAAATTCCAGTTGCAGATAATTTAAATGACCTTAAGATTGTAAGTTCCCATTTTACAACTACTTGCCTCTTTCATTTTACGCCAGAATTAGTAGAGTTAATGCCACTGGGATCATATGTCTAGATGATTGCTCATTAGTCAAATGGTCAGTTGTGAGCATTCAGTCCATGCTAAACTGAGACATTTAAGTTGAAGCAGAGGTGATGAAAATGCTGCCATAGATGGAGAAACAGTGGAATTTTATGAATTTAGTGCAATCATTTAAGAATTTAAATTAAAATCTTCAAAAATAGTGCAGCATGTAGTATGGTATGTTGGGGCAATTGGTATTTGCATTGCATCAATAATGAACGAAACAATCGATTTGAGTTTATGCACACTAATAATTGATGCTCGTTTACATATTCCAACAGGTTGGCATGATCATTAGTGAAATACTTCGACTCTATCCTCCAGCTCTAATGTTAATGAGGAAAACCAATGAAAATGTGATGCTAGGGAGCATTGAAGTTCCTGTAAAGACTCAACTCTACTTGGCATTGGCTGCTATTCATCATGACAGAGAAATCTGGGGAGAAGATTGTCATGAATTTAATCCAATGAGATTTAGTGAACCTCGGAAGCTAGCAGCATTCTTTCCATTTGGATTAGGGTCTAGAACTTGTGTTGGGCAAAATTTGGCATTGATTGAGGCAAAGATAGCTCTTGCTTTGATTATTCAAAGTTATAGTTTTGTGGTATCTCCAAGCTATATACACGCTCCTATACTATTTATAACTTTGCAGCCTCAACATGGTGCACAAATCATCTTCAGAAGGATTTCAGGTTGACTATTGTTGTTTCTCTTTTTTGTGTAATTTTGAACTTTGATTTGTAGTAAGTCTTTTTGGCTATATATTAAGTGTTGTGCACTACTGACGAGAAAAAGTTGTGAAGTTGAGAAAGCTTACACGTAGTATTTTAAGAGGATTGATAATTACACTCTCCATCTATGTAGCCAAAAGTTCAAAGAGTGGAAATATTTAATCTTTCAAGTCAAATGATTATATAATAGGCTAAGTCATCGAAAGAAGAGCTCTGACTCAAAGTGGTTAACAACAGATATAAACATTTCATATAGGTTGACTTAAAAAGACTCAGTTTCCACAACCAAGTGTCTCGGTATGTAATTTATCATATCAATAGACTAAAAAACAAAGCAAATTCTAGAAAATAACTATTGTACAAATACTCTTATAAGAAGGAAAAGTAAACATTGGAATTTTTGGCTTAAACCTTACAAGCTGACCTATTTGGAGATTGAGTACAAGTCGAGTGGTTGTCTCTTTTCTTCATCAAATATCAATATGTATCGGGAACTATGTTGATCAACTTTTGTTCATTCTTTTCTTATATGACTAGTTTTGTTTTTGCTTTTTGCATATTATTACTAGTAAGGTAGCAAATCATAACTTAAAGAAACAACAACAACATACTTGTTCATTAAGTAAAAGCATATAGAAGTAGTGCAAAAAGTGGAAAAGTATTCATATAAGTTAGCTAATACTCTTAAATGGATCAAAATACAATAATGGAAGTACTAAAAATAAAATAAAAACCGAAAATCTAAAACTCCTTAAGTCATATGTTGTCGAAGTTGAAGAAGTTGTGCACATCATCCATGGCATCCTAGAAAGATTGGTTTTGTCTAGTCTAACTAGTCCTCATCTCAGCTCTTTGGTGTGATAAGGCTTAATCTTGCTTTATAAAGTATGTCTATGTGTCTTCAGTGGTAAAATGATCCCTTAAGCTTTGAACTGGTATATGATCTCGGTGCTTATTATAGAAAGTCTGAAAACTCAATCTAAATTTGGGTGGTTCAACATACAAGTTAGATGAAATTTTAGTGGCCCGGCTTGCCATGCCAAAAACATGCTCCTCCAACCTTTGTAAACGTGAGTGTTTGCTGTTGTTTTTGAGGATTTCCTTCTGGTTTTTAGATCTATGGATGATAGAATTGGTCTTGTGTTTCATTTTGTGCTTAATCTTGTCTACCTACATGAGTATGATGTGTTGGTATCCTTCTCATGACACTTTGGTTGATTGGCAACATCTGACTGATTGTCTTGTCATCAGGGTGGTTTTGAACTCCAACTAATATGCACAATTCATTAATAATACTAAAATATCTATAAATTCGTTGTGGTGCGTCAGTCTTGTGTTAGATATTTTCAACAGTTAATCACCCAACATTTATGTTTTCATGGTTTAGAATAGACATAATTTGCATACACCGCTTTGCAATAAATTTAGATTGGTTAGAAGAGATTCCTAAGTTTTCACAATAAAAGATGCCCATACTTTTAGTATTGGGCGCATATGCCTAGTTAGAAGCCTCAAAGGCACACTCCTCACAATAACCCTCTTAACTCCGGGTTTACAAAATTCATTTTTCAATAAATTCCACATTTGTTCTGTAACACCTTTGAAATTCTGGCTGCAGATACTCAATGTCACGTTCAATGTTGTGACACCGTGTCTGACTTTCTATAAGACAGTAAATACAAAAACAGTAAAGAACACAGTCAATTGTTTACCCAGTTCAGTGTGCAACAACACCTACTCTGGGGGCTACCAAGCCAGGGAGGAAATCCACTATAAGAGATGTTAATTCAGGAATAAACCAACCAGTTTATCTCCTTCACTTAAGACCTACCCAATGCAATTTCAATCTAAGTACAACTTAAACCTGAGTTCCTACTCACTCCCCCTCAATCACAGCAGTGATACATAAAACAATTTGACTAATGAATTGATGAAGACACTCTTCAAAAACATACACTTGATTAAGCTTCACAGCTTTTTAATCAAGCAACCCAACCACTCTTGCTTCACAGCTTTGAGTGATACACACACCTAACTTGACTCTGCTTCACAGCTTTAGTTAAGAGACATACAAACACTCTTGCTTCAAAGCTTTGAGTGCTACACAACCCTTACAATTAAAAACCTATTCCAAGTCACTTATCACAATGATAATTGCTTGGATTACAATAGTTAAAACTATACAGCTTCTAAATGATCTTCTGTCAAAAAGGGATTACTTTCAAAACAGCAGCTCTGTTGAATATATAGCAGCTGCATCTTCAGTTAGGGTTTCCCCAAAAAGCTAGGGTTAATTCCATTTGACCTTAAGACTAGGTCACAGGACTTTATCAACCAGGTTAGGGTTGAGCTAGGTTAACCCAAAGAAAACACAGGATTCTGTTCTGGAAAGACTGAGTCATTTTCCTGAAAAAACTCAGAATTAACCAAACTGCAAACCTGTTAGTTCAGAACAGGATGTCTTAACATTTGTTATGACATCTGAATTCCTGTTTACTGATTTTGGTAAATGTGATCATTTTGCAAAATGCTCAGATACACACTCATAAACATCAGTACCTGTATGACAATATTTTTCCTGCAAAGGTACCTAATAAATCTGTACCTAATAAACTAGAATGTTATGACATCAGTCATGACATTCATACACCTGGTTTTGCCAAAAATGCAAGCCAATACCTAAACAACTACAACCTTATTTCTTCGTCGGTAATTTAACCAAAAAATCAGAGTATTTAATTCATAGAATAAAACATCAAGAATAGGATGCCACATTTTCATACATCATACATGCTCATATAATTAGATACGCAACACATAGTCACTTATTCATCATGTTTGAACTTCGTTTCATTTATTCGTAGCGGAAAATATCACTAGAAATTATTCTCAACATGAGTGATAGTTGTCATAACTCGAAAAGTTCAAAGTAAAACATCAATTAAAATCCAACAAAAACGGAGTTCTACCATAGTTTACTCCCATCATAATAAAACAAACGCAAAACCCTTCAAGTGCTACATATTAGAGCTGACACTGATTCAATCTACGCAAAAACACTCCTCAGCGAACCTCTACCTCGAGTTACTTCGGTTCATCTGCATATTATCCACGTAGAGGCAACATTCAAACAAAAGGGGTGAGATATCATAACAATATAAAAGAAAACATAATAATAAGTAAATAACAATTTAAGTACGCATAGTTATACTTCTTTACCTCACACCTTTACTTCATCCATCACATCTCAAAGTACATCAACATATAAGCAATACAACACATGATAATCATCATAATATGAATCATACTCTTTCATCATCAGACATCAAATTATCAATCATAATGTAATGCAATGAGACTGACACTGACTAAATGTGTGTGGTACCAATATGGCAGAATCCTCATCATAATAATGTCAACGTAGGACAACAATATCATAACACCAATACAGGCCATCTTTCGCCAATACATACCATCTTTCGCCAATACAGACTATCTTTCATGAATGCATGCGACACCAACATGAAAGAACTTAATTTACATTGATATTACTACTCATCAACGTAACGTCAATACAGGCCATCATCATCTTCATTATCATGCAATACATCATGCAATACATCATGCAAAACAATTGAACCATTCATACAACATCATATTACTCAATCGCAACGTAATTCATAGCAAACTGTTTAGGAATATACATAGATAGGTATCAATGTTGGTCAAATAATTAGCTACTGTGTTTCACTTTATTTTTATAGGATGGAAAATAATTTTCTCTTTTCAACGGTCCAAACGGCGCGTCAAATGGACACCCGAGGCGAAAGTTATGCAATTTACAAATTTTGAAAAATCTAACATTTCAGATGTAACCTATTAATGCCAGGAGGGTAACCGGTTACACCCCTCTGATTCAGAATTACAACACTATTGTCCAGTTGGGTAACCGATTTCCACATATGTCGTACGCGGGTACACGTTCATATTTTAACCCAGTTTGCCCAAAATTGCACAGGGTAACTGATTACCCTCTATGCCGTACCCGGTTACACCTGCTGTAGAGTTCAAAAATCTGCAACTTTGCAGGTTACGAAAATTCATGTTTTAAAACCCCAATTCCCAATATTTCAACCAAAACAATATTTTCTAATTACACTTATTATTCACCAACATTGCCTATCAATTTCATCCAATATTCATCATCTAATTTCAACAATAACATACGAAATGCATAAAAGAATTCGTCAATGGAAAAAACCCCGATCAAGCAAAAATAGAGAGAATAAAAAATACAAACTCATGGAACCTAAACACTACCATACCCCATTGTTATGCAACCCATTATAATGTTAGAATCTCATTCTTATCTTAGATTTTGGTCAATTCTTGATTCCTACGGTGAACATTCTTGCCCTAGTCTTTTCCTCTATTTCTCTTTTCTACGATCTTCTCTGTTATTTTTCTACATTGCTTTTCCTCTTCTTTATTCTCACTCTATTTTATTTCAAGGACCCCTAAATCATAATACCAACATTGCCCTTCCCAATTAAATAAATAATTATCTAAATAACCATAAAATAATAACAATTCTATTTAATTATTATACTATAGTATTTAAATCTAATATTTTAATCCAAGTAATGTTAAGAACTAGTCATCTCTCTGCATATCATGTTTCTACATTTTTGGTCATACACTCACATGATCTCAACTCCAATAATTCCTAAGGCCTCTAATTCTCAATAAAATACATCACATCATTTAATTAATTTAAATAAAATAATTCAACGAAGTCGAGATGTTTCATATTTGAGTGCAAGAACTTAACATACCTTGACCTCTCTCAACCTCTCTCAGAACAAATGGAATGGTACAATACCAGAATCCATGTACGATAATTTGGGCAAACTTGAATATCTCGACCTCACAAACTGTGGGCTAGAAGGAAAACTGTCATCCAACT